GGAGGAATGGTGGATGGACGATGGTGTAGGGATGGGTTCGAGCTGCTCTCGTTTTAAACGTCGCCCGTGTGCTGCACGTAATAACTGATAGCGCAGCTGCTGCTGCTTGTGATAATTGATAGAGCAGGTTGTCGCTGGACGATTCTTGCCACTTGCTAAATTAAGGGGACATCGATTGCCTTATCGGCTTATGCGTGTACCGACGCTTGTGAGACTCGATGAGGGTGATTAAGAATGGAAGGGAAAGTTACAGCTGTTTGGAACTAATTCGACGATGTACGACACAACAGGTTGCTACAGCGAAGGGCTGTGTTCCCTTTGTGTGTATGGGATACTTGGCAACTCGATGTGGGTACTCGAACCGGGTTCCCTTTGATTTTCCTTTTTTCTCCTACAGGATATTCGCATATTTCATTTTCTCTCTCTTCGTGTTCGTACAAAGTTGTTTCGTGCAATTCTCGTTTGGAACAAATGTAGGCATTATTCGAGCACAGGTGATGCGAATGTACGAATAAAAGAGAAACATATTTAGTATCTACAGCAAGTAGCTTCACTGTTGGGTTTCTCTTGCAATGGAACAGAAGGGTTCGTAAATCTATACTAATTACTAGGTGAATATTTCAAATATCGAAACTATACTTTCCTCTAGTTTGCATACATAGTGGCCACGTTGATAATTTTTCTTGCTCAAAAATGTATGTTAAATATTTTTACGAACGCAAATATTAATCCATAGTCTTCGAAAGATTAACGACAACAATACTGGGCATTGATTAAAAAATTAGAGTAGAATGGAACCTGGAAAGTATTTTATATTCAAAAGGAAAAAGAATGGTTTAGATCGACTTCATTTTTCTTGTTCATAATTGAGACAATTTCGCGAGCAGCTCGTATCCATCGTCGAGCGTCCGAGCACCCAGTATATGGACAGATCGAGCGGGAGAGAAAGATCAAGCGCTCCACCCACGCCCATGTCTCAACCTGTTCTGTTTCTCCCGTCGAGCCGCGGTTACAGGTGCCT